CAGGGACGCCCCCCTAGAGAGGAGAGCCAGGCACTGCCTGGGCCAGGGTCTGGCCATAAGCTGAGCTGAGCCCGGTGGAGCACGGAAGAGGAGGAGGAGGAGGGCAGGGGGCACCTACCTTGAGGGCTGGGGCAGTAGGTGAACTGGGGCCCGTGCACCACTCTTCCTCCCCGCACTGGGCAGCGGGGCAGGGCTGGGCTCTCCCTCCGGTAGGGCAGCATCGCTCCTGCTGAGGCTGAGCAGAGGCGGCCGCGCGTCACCGCGGCAGAGCCATGGCTGCACCGCACCGACCGCCACCTGCCCCCGAATCCCTGAGGTGCTGGCACCACCGAGGAGCACCATCCCATCACCCGATGGTCCCCTGGGCCACCGGCCACCACTGTCCCACCCCAGTGAGCTCCTGCAAGGGCAGGCAGGGGACATGGGGAGGGGACCCCTCCTGCCCAGGGCCCTGCTCACCTGGGGATGGCCGGGCACTCAGGGCAGCACCATGTCCACATGCCACATCCATGCGTCCCTCCACTGAAGTGGCCCACGGGGCACCGTGGCCCTTTATACTCACGCCAAGAGCAAAGTCTAAGGAGCCACACATTGCCCCTCGCCTCCGCTCTCGCTGCTCACCTCCTCCCCAGAAATTCCTGCAGTTAATGGGTAACCCTGCAGCATCCCGTCAGCTGCAGCCCAGGGCCAGGATGGGGCATGCGCCCCCGGGGTACCACACTGTTGGCACACCCTGCCTCGCCTGCCCGAGGCTCAGCATCGCCCCTGGGTGAGTGGCAGCTGGTGTGGTGGGGAGCGAAGCCAGAGCAGTGCTGGAGCCCAGTGCCTGAGGGGTGATTCCGGAGCAGCCTCAGCTCTCCATCACTTAGTGCCAGGTGCTTCATCCCCTGCATGAGGAGGAGGAGGAGAAGGGCTTGGTGGTGGTGCTGCCAGAGCATCTCAAACTGGAGGTGAGGCCACACGCACATCCACCATCCTCGAGCCATCTGAGCATCAGCCGCAAGAGAGCCAGCTCTGCCCAGGCCATGCGCCCTCCTCACCGCCAGGACATTGGCGGTGGGTTACATCGGCACCAGTGTGGTCCCAGTGTCCTGTCACTGGTGGTGACAGTGGCATGTGGCCCGGCTCAGCCTGTGCCCGTGGCTCAGCACAGAGCAGCCAGCAACGCTGCGAGGGCTGCGTGGGGCAGAGCCTGCATCTTCCCAGCACATGTGATGCCGGGGTGGGCAGGAGCAGAACGACGCCAGCGCTGCCGTCACCACCTCCTCGACGCCGTTTATCATTACCCGCGGTTTACGCACCTCTGGCCAAGTTTCCATCCACCCGCAAGGCACCCGGACAGCTTGTGTCCACGTCTGCCCTGGGGGAGAGCCAGGAGCCAAAGGCCCCTCCAGCCCTGGTGCCTGGGGGGAGCGGGCACGGAGGGGCCATGCGGTTGCCACATCCTCACTTCTCCGGCATCGGACACTCCCCAGACCCACCACCATAGACTGCGACTGTATGGGGGGAGCAAGGGGAGATCCCTTAGGTACCCCAGGGTGCTCTGGGACAGCCTGGGGACATCCCTGCCACGGCTGAGGCATCACTGAACCTCCAAACTGATGGAGCTGAATGCCCCGGAGGCGCCACAGGAGGGAACATGTCCTGCCTCTGCAGGACCTGGGGACCCTTCTGGCCAGGGAGTGCAGCTGGTGGCACCAGCAGAGCCCTGTGCCAGGCTGCAGTGGGCAGGAGGCCAGTGTCCGTGCTTGCCCCATGCCCAGGGGCTCTTGGCCAGCTGCCCCCACAATCATTAACCCAGTGAGGCTCTGGCAGCTCTGGCTGTCACTCATTGACAGGGTCAGGGCTGAAGTCCTCAGCCATGCCGGCCCCACAGCTTCCCCTACAGCATCAGTGGTGCTGGGAAAACAAACTCCTGGCACTGCCCCTTGCTGCTGGGCAGGGTGGCACCGGAGGCAAGGGCTGGCTCCAGCCCTGCCCTGGCCCCGGGGGTGCTCCGTGGGGTATGGGGGGGCTGGGAGGACACTGCTGCCAGGAAAAGAAGAGTCCGGCCTCAGCAGTGGAGGAAGGAGAGGGACACGCATCCAGGCAATGCTCTTTATTTTCCCCGGTTTCACACCACAGATGGGACTGAGCAGCACCATGGAGAAACAGGGGGGCTCTGACCAGGCAGCCATGCCCCCCCCATCCCTGGGTGAGCCCCAGGGCTGCCTTGGGCCACCCCTCTGCCTCTGGCCAGGCAGTGGTGACGGAGCGGTGACCCAGGGCACAGCCAGGAAGCACACACGGAGGATGGAGGGATCTCCTGGCTGCTGTCGAGGGGCCGTCTCCATGGCAGATTGGGTCTGGGACCTCTGGGGACACAGGGCTGCTGGGGATGGAGACCCACAGGGCACAGCTAGATCTGGCAGAGCCGGGCTCAGCGTTACAGCCCAGCACAGCCACCGCCAGGGATGCCAGGCTGGGCACACGCTGGGTACCCACACACCAGGCTGAGATGCTCAGCACCCAGGGGTGCTGCGTTCCTCTGCCACCAGGCAGGCCTGTCCCCAAGGGCTGAGCACCCACAGCCCCAGGCAGGCCGGGGCAGGGGCCCTACAGGGAACTGCTCCCGTGGGTCACTTCAGCAGCCACCCACACAGGGTCTCCCTGGGGGGAGGAGGAAGGGTTCTTTGGCACGACCTGCTGGCTCTGCCTCTATCTGCCTGGGGCAGGAGCCAGCTGCCCTGCTCCACAATGGCAGCGCTATTGTGGCAGGATCAGGCCCAGCCACACTCATGCAATGCAGATGGCAACAACCTGCCCAGGGCACAGGCCATCAGGGCCGTGCTCACCCTCCCTGGGAAGGGTAGACCTGCACATCCACAACAGGGGAAGCCCTGTTCCTGCGGGGGTCAGGGACTGGATCTGGCCCTCAGGTCCAGACATGCGTTCTCCTGACCCTGCCTGCCCACAGCACCAGGGTTCAGGGCTGGCGCCTGCCTTGCCACCCCACCCACCCTCTCTGTCCTGCATGCCCTTCGGCTGGAAGGGTGCTTTCCCCACCTGAACGGTCAGCGGAGCTGTGCCAGCCCGGCACAGGCAGGATTTGCTGGGCGGGCAGCTCTGCTGCAGGCAGAGCGGGCAGAGGCACTGGGCAGGACAGTGCCAGGCATGCGTGGGACGTTGCAAAGTGCTTTGCAACGGGGGTTCAAACTATGTACAGGACTCCCTTGACGTGCACCAGGATGAGACCCCACCAAGGGGTATGGCAGCTGCTCAACCACTCACAGCGACACGACACGACAGTTTGGGACAGGACGCAGACGAATCTTCAGTCCAGGCAGTGTCGGCAGTGCAGGGCAGGGGCCGGTTGGGCCCCGTGTTGAACCTCAGCATGGCCCGGGGGTACCACGCACCGGGTATGGACGTGCAGCAGGACTCATCGGAGCTCATGGTCAACCGGAGGCTGAGCCGGTGTGGGCTCTGTGGGCTGAGGATTGCCATTTCCCTCGGAGCCTGGGTGAGGGGCGCAGGGCTGATCCAGCCCTTCACAGGTGCTGTTGTCCTGCCCAGGGAGCTGGAGAAAGTCAGGCAGGACCAGGTCCTCCTTGGAGAGCAGCCCACGCTGGTCGTTGGCCCGGCAGCTCTGGGCACGGGTCAGCACCTCAGCCCTGGGGGAAATGCAGGTCACCCACCTAAGCCCGGCACTCGAGCGCCTGTCCTGACACCTCGGCTGCCCTCTCCACCTGATATGACCCTGAACGTGTCCCAAGCACAGCACCTGCACCTTCTCCCTGCTCTACACCAGCACCCTTGGCACGCTGCACCCATCCCCAGCACACCAGGGGGACCCCAAGTCCCCCATAGCCCATCCCCACCTTCACAGGACCCTACACGCATCCCCAGCAGACCAGGAGCCCTGCATCCCTCACCCCGTGATTACCCCAGCCCCTCAGTTTTCAGACACCCCAAGTCTCACCTTCCAGGTCGTACGTGCGGCGGTTCAGGTTTGTGGCAGCTGAAGACCGGGGCCGGGAGAAGGAGGAGGGCATCTCCCACAACGTGTCTGACTCTGCTCCTGTTGGGCTTCCCTCCTGAGATGAGCAGCCCAGGCTTCAGCAACAGGGCAAGGAGGTAGCGCTCTCCCAGCCCACATCCACATTGCCCTCCTGCAGCCTGGCTCCCGCCGCGGCACACACTGCTCAGCCCCGCGGCATGTGCCGGGGTTGCAGCAGGGCCTGCCTTCCCCACAGACCATGGCAGCAGCCGTGGGGGCATCTCTGACCGGGGTGGTGGGATCTGGAGCTCACCTCGCTCTGGAGTGGGGAGGGGGCAGCCGCAGCGCTCTCCGTCCCTTGCCTGTCTGCAAGGTAAGTGATGCTCAGCGCCCTGTGCCAGCACTTTGGTCCTGGCCCAGCCCGTGACAGGACTGAGCCCACCCCCGGGAGCAGGAGCCATGGCCAGCAGGAAGCAGCCTGGCCTTGTGAGTGCTCT